GAAGGATGTCATGCTTGGTAGGGTGGAGGGTCGATGAAAGAGGGGGAGGCCTTCAACGAGATGGATTGACACAGTGGCTGTGATGATGGGCTCAAGTATAGCAGGGATTGTGGGGCTGGTGTGGGATCGGGCAGCATTTTGTTCTGCGGTGCATGGGGTCGCTGTGAGTCAGAAATGACTCGACGGCACCTAACAACAACAACAACAACTTGTGGGAAAACTCAGAACATGTTCAAAAGCCCAAACCTATGTTCCACTCTTTTTAAATTTCTTTCCCTATGTGATCAGCTAGAGGGTGGTTAAGATTTTAGATACAATTTAGGAAAAAAATGGAAAGAGATCTTAAGCCTGGAGAATCCTGATGGGCAACTGTGTGCAACAAATTTTTGCCCTTGCCCCAGGTACAAGGGGAGACTGATGACACAATTCCTTTCCATGGTTTCATATTGTCTGAAGATAAATTCTCACCTCTAATGGAAAGCATATAAAGCTTGCTTGCATTCTGGCCTGATTTCCCGCTGCTTCCAACCCTACTGTGGCAGAGATGTTTATTGACCAACAGAGATTAGTGCTTCTCTTCAGAATGTAGTTGCTCTGGAAAATGACTCCCAGGCAGGGATTACATTTCTCAGTGCATCTAGATGGACCATGTAACTAGATCTGGTCAGTGAAATGTGAGGGGAGCGATGTGTGACAATTCTGCCCAGAAGGCCTAATAGCATACTCTCTTTCTTCCCTCAGTCAAATGGTTAGATGTCACCAGGGTGACCTCGAAGCCCAAAGACTGAATCAAACTGGTCCCTCAGTCACCATTTGCAGGAAAATCACCCTGCAAAGTTGCCAGATCAAGAATTTGACATTGAACTTGGCACAAGTGAGAAGTAAATTTAAATTTTATTTTTGTTAGTCACGGAGTCTTTTTTGTTTGTTTGCTTTAATTTTGTTACAGTACCACAACCTAGCCAGCCTTTATACTCCTACCCAGTAATATTCTGACTTGCTGCCCGGTCCCTCAACTTATCAAGTTCTTTTCATTTGGCCTTACCTTGCAATCTATGCTGCCTCTGCCTTTTCTCCTTGACAAAATACCAAGGCTCAGATTATTGTTGTTGTTCCTAGCTGCCATTGAGTTGGTCCCCAGCTTTGGGCAACCCCATCCACAGTGGGATACATGAAGTCTTTAATTGGCTGATTTTTTGGAAGTAGATCACTAGGCCTATCTCCCTGGCCTGTCCTAGTCTGGAAAATCTGCTGAAACATGTTCAGCATCACAGCAACATGCAAGCCTCCGGTGACAGAATGGTGGTTAAGCTGGAGATGCACGGGCTGGGAATCAAACCCAGGTCTTCTGCATGGAAGGTGGGAATTCTATTCTACCTCTGAACCACCACTGTCCTCCAGACTCAGATTAAGTGATACCTATACTGGGAATTATTCTCTGGGCTGTTTTCTAGTCCTTCTTCTATACCTCCACTTCCCCTATTTCATGGTCGCTATAAAAACATGTTGACATAATCATCTACTCAAGAACCTGTGAGCCCTTTAAATGTAGGCACCAGGTCTTAGTCTTTATATTGAGAGCACCTAAATAGTGCTGGGCATATGATAAACTCTCAATACATGGAATATGGATTAACCTGTTGCCGTTGAATTGATTCTGACTCATAGTGACCCTCTACAACAGAGTAGAGCTGTCATCTATAGGGTTTCCAAGCCTGTAATCTTTATGGAAGCAGACTACCACATCTTTCTCTGAAAGAGGGTCTGGTTTATTTGAACACTGACTTTCCAGTTAGCAGCCAAGTGCTTAACCACTGTGCTAGCAGAATTTTGGATTAGGCTAGGTGTACTAGGGTATGAGGGTTCTCTGGTTATGTCCCTTACTCCGTGGATTGCAGGGTGTAATTGGTCTGAATTGGATTAGACGCTTTGCTTTACTGCAGGGGTACACCAGGAAAGTTGTACTACTTGAAATCAGTAAAACATTTAAAAACCATGCGTGGTGTAAAGGAGTAAGCACCCAGAATTTGTCTTTTGCTATTCACTGGAGGATAGTGGAAAAGAAAAGTTTTTGCACTTTCAGAATGTGTATTTTTAATCATTGCAGATCATGTTGAATATGTGCTTTGCTTGAAAGACATTGGAAATCAGGCTTTCCCAAAAGTTGTGGCCAGAGACATTCTACAGTTCCTTTGCTTCTCTGTAAAATTTGAACTTATTTTGAGAGAACGATGAGGGAATTAAAGCTTAAGGTCAAATGAAAGGGGAAATGCTTTACCAGGAAGTGCTTTAGAAACTGCCTGTTTTTAACATAGCTTATGAAGTGAGAACACTGCTTTAATAAAAATGGAACACTACTGGTTACAAGAAATGTTGCCTTCTTCCTTCAAAGTCATTGAAGAAGACTCTCATTCCTTGGGTTGCTGACAAGGGCTGTGGTGGTATAAGAATAGGGACTGAGCAGAGCTGCAATGGTATAATGACGGAGTCCAGAGTCATTTGCCATGAACGCCATCTAGGAGAGAACACAGACACGATCTGTTCGTAACAGAGCCAAGAAACACACGAGCAGTGGACATTGGGAACAGTGGCGACCCAGTGACAAATTAATTTTTAAATTTTATTATTTTGTGTTTTGGAACAGTTTGCCAAATATGCTGGCAGATTAAGCCAGCCATTGGAACCTGGTACATTGGAAGGACAGTTCTTTACTACTGCCCGTATAGTCAGGCCTCTTGTTTTACAAATTCACACTGAAAATCAGAGTGGCCCTAGCCTGACTGAGGGCAGTCACAGGGAATCAAAAGGCTCTTGTTTGTTTTCTCAATTTTCAGACAACTGAGGTTTCAGAGGAAGGTGGGGGAGAATGTGGAAATTGGTGTTTAATGAATGAGAATTGCTGAGAATAGTTACCTAGTGCTGCCAATACTGTCACGGATTTAGACAGCTAGAGTTTTACAGATAAGTAAACCAATCCTCCCAACAATAGTGTCTTGCCCAAGTTTTTATAGTGACTGAGCCAGACTTGAAAGTAAGGTTCCTGTTGTCAAGGGCAGAGATTCTGTTCTTCCTGACCCACTATTTCTTTATATTTTCAAATAGGAAGAAGAACATTTTTATGCATATAAGAAGCAATAAAACACAGAGGAAAAACATTTTACCCAATGATTAAGTAAGTGCTCAGCTGCTAACTGAAAGGTAGCATCTCTACAGAAGAAAGACGTGGTGATATGCTCTCATAAGGATTACAGCTTAGAAAACCCTTTGGAGCAGTTCTATTCTTCACATGGGGTTGCAATGATTCAGAATCAACTTGATAGCACCTTACAACAACAATATTTTACAATAGTGGTAGAATGTGGAAAATCAAGTTGTAATAAAATATACACACTTTGTTGAAGATAAATTAGTCTTGTTGGTCAAATTATTGATCTAATTGTTGTTCCAGTTAGTCACATACATCTGTCAAATTGAATACAGATTCTAAGACTTGGGTGCTGGGATGGTCTAGGTGTCCAGAATGAGGTAAATAGGGATAAATTTGGTTCAGGAGAAAGATGGAGAGCAGTGAAGTGGTGTTAATTTTACTTATTTGGTCTTTGGACACACCTTGGACAAGTACATTTTGTTCCTTGTACAGAAAAGGAAATCTGGACTCCTTGGGGACAGGAATGAAAAAAGCTGATCAACCGTGCAAAATAATAATAATAATAATAATAATAATAATAATAAACAGCAAAACAAAACAAAAAACAACAACATTGGGGCAAGGAACGAATCCCTCTGAAGGAGAAAGGGCACTCCTTAAAGGGCACTTCTCTAGAAGATCCTATGGAAAACGTGTTATTTCGTATGGTGTTACTGCCTCCAGTCGCATTTGGTTATCTAGTGCAGCCAGAATAGAAATACCACAAGTGGATGGATTTAAAGAACAGAAACTCATGATCTCACAGTTCAGGAAGCTTAAGGTTCAAATTCAGGGCCTGACTCAAGGGAAAGGTCATGCCATGCCTATTTCAGCTTTTAGCTGCCAACAATTCTTGGCTTTCCTGGGCTTGTAAATGCATCTGTCTCCTTCATCTGCTTTCCTCTTCACCATGTCTCTGGGTCTAGTACAAACCCTTTACAACTCATAAGTGATTAGGTTTAGCATCTACCCTACTCTAGCATGCACTCATTAACGTAACAAAAGACCCTTTATTCCAATCAGGGTGATACACAGGTACAGAAGTTAAGATTTTAACATTTATTTGCAGGGTACACAATTCAATCCACAACATATTTATTCTTCCTAAAAATTGTAAGTGGCATAATCTGGGTTCCAAAATCCATAGAGTGAATAGGACTAATAATTCCAAAGGTAATTTTCTAATTCTCTACAATAAGTTTAATAGGGCCACCTTGGTTTGGCCAAGGAGGAGGTGACTAGATAGATACTGAAGGATAGAAACTTCCTGAGAGACACTAACCAGAAGGAGCTGGCAGGAAGAAAAGGAAGTCATGGCTAAATCCACCATACACCAGTCACCAAAGTGAGGCATTGGAGTCAGGTGTGACTATTCGCTCTTTCATTCCCTGTATCTATTCAGGCTCCAAGTTAGGCTGATGATCCTACCTAATGCATCCTACCTTAATCCTTCCATTCCATTCCAAGGGCAGTGATGTGTTTTCACCTCTAAATGTTTAGCATCTAACTCAGCGCTCAATACTTAGATGATTTTTATTATTTTTAAAAAATTTTCAATGAAATCTAAAAGAACGAATAATAGACAAGAAAGCTAGTATCTAATGAATAATAATCATGGGCAGGCTGTCCAGCTGTGAATCTTTTCTGATTACCCCGGGTCGCTGAGACCAGGGTGGACAGATTCCTGGGAGCTGACCCAATACTCGAGGGACTGGGACTCTAGGGAAAATGCCTTGTGGTGGAGGACGTCTAGATCCTGCACCTGCCCCAACTCAGGCTCAGTGTCTTGCTGCCAGGCTGAGAGTCAGCCAGCAAGATACTTCTGGATAGATGTGGCTCTATCTGTGACTTGGGAGCCTTACAAGTCAAACAGGCCTGTATGGTTTTCCTGGCAACACTGTCTTCTAAAAAAAAAAAAAAATCATATCAGTTAAAAATTTCATCCATGACTAAGCCAGAGAGAATAGTTCCCTTTCATGTCAAGTTATTTTTGATGGAAGTAGTTGATCTTTTACTCTGACCAACATGTCTAGATTCTATTTCCATGACAGTCATCTGGTTTAAATGACTTAAGGAATTATTGACAAGAAGTAAACTGCAAGATTGGGCCCATGTATAACTGTTTGAGATCTCTGGTAGTGTAGTGCCTAAGGCACTTGACTGCTAAGCAGAAGGCTGGTGGTTCAAACCCACCAGTCACTCCTTGGAAGGAAGATGGGGCAATCTACTTCCGTAGTGATACTGCCTGGGAAACCCAAGGAGGGGTCGCTATGAGTCGGGTCTGAGTCGAGGGCACATAACAACAACAACATTACCTCATAAAGGAGCTCTGGTGGTGTAGTGCCTAAGACATTTGACTGCTAACCAGAAGTTTGGCGGTTCAAACCCACCAGCCATTCCATGGAAGGAAGACTGGGCGATGTACTTCCCTAAAGATTTACTGCCTTGGAAACCCAAAGGGGGTTGCTGTGAGTCGGAATTGACTCGATGGCAGTGAGTTTTTTTTTTTGTTACATCACAGAAGTCCTCGGATCTGACTCCTAGCGATCCCTCCTTGGGTTTCCGAGGCAGTATCACTACAGAAGTAGATTGCTCAACCTTCCTTCCAAGGAGTGGCTGATGGATTTGAACCGCCAGCCTTCTGGTTAGCAGTCAAATGCCTTAGGGACCATGCTACCAGAGCTCCTATAGGAGTCCTTGGATGGTGCAAATAGCACACTCAGCTGCTCACCAAAAGACCAGAGGTTTGAGTCCACCAGAGGAGCCTAGGAAGACAAGCCTGGCAATCTACTTCTGAAAAACCAGTAATAGAAAACCTGATGGAGTAGCTGTGCTCAGGCACACATGGGGTGGCCATGAATTGGACTCAGTAGCAACTGGTTGGTTATCTCATAAGCATGGGAGTAGAGTGTGAACCAAGTGTTAAAAATGCAACCTTTTTTTGTCTTGGTTTTTTACAGGGAGAAAGCTTTGTGAGCCAAACCTGGTGAAGCTAAACCTAGCCTAGACCCCATTACTAAATATTCCTGCCCTTCCCTTACTAGTCACATTGACAATTTGTTTAATTTTCTGGTGCCTCACTTTCTTTATCTGTAGAATGATGATAAGAATAGGGCCAGCTTCAATGGATTGTTCATGAGGATTAAGTGGGTTAAATATAGAAAACACTTATAATAGTGCCTGACACATGATATATTCTTGATAAATGTTATCTATTATTGCTATTATTTTGAATTCACTGTCTCAACTTGCATTACCAAGAACATAAAGTAGCGCAGGTCCACTATCGTTTATCCAAACCTCTGGGAGGTGATGGAATGTACTTTGGAACGAAGAATTTTTCATCTTTGAGAAAAGTAAAATGGTACATCTATGTTTTCTTTCATGGAACCCTAAGTGAGGGTTGCCTTATAATTAAAGGTGGTCTGCCTTATAATTAAGCTTACCAGTATTTCTTAGGCAAACAAACAAATATTCATATTAAATGGAATAAATGAAAACAATAGAGTCATATCACTTCAGGCTAGGTTATCAAATGAGTTTTCCTAAACTGGTAGCATAGTACCTAAGGCACTTGACTGCTAACCAGAAGGCTGGTGATTCAAGCCCACTAGCCACTCCTCAGAAGGAAGGTTGGGCAATCTACTTCCATAGTGATACTGCCTTGGAAACCAAGGAGGGGTCGTTATGAGTCGGGTCCAACTCAATGGCACATAACAACACAACAACAAACTTAGAATAAAAAAGGTTTGCTTTTTGAGTTTTGAGGATTTCTAATTGTAAAAATGGGAAACAGGACCTGGGCTAGTTCAGTGCTTTCCTGTAACATTTTCATGGTATACTAAGAGCAAGCTCTACATTACATTTC